GTATAAAAATACATATTAATAATTCAACCAAATTGCAGTTTATTTACACAATAAGTCAATAAATATGTATAATTTAATATTGTGACCATCTTAAAAGACCTCAAGTGTGCTATTGATACCATTTTACCCAATCCAGATGTATAAAAAATATGGCCAAATGATTTATCATTTAGTTTTTTAATACTTCTAAATATAACTTTCATCTCAAAATATTCTTATGACAATTTCTACTATTCTTCTATAGCATCATATTATAACCTATAGATACCATTTAATGTTTTACATGAAGGATGGAAATGTTAAAGGATGGTATGAGTGTCACTCAATCTGTAAAATGTCCATGATGCTTAAGTTCCATTCTCACAAAAGGCCCTAAATAAGGTCTGGCATGAGGAAAATATAGATGGGTTTATAGGCACTATATCTAAGATCATCACATATGTATTTTCAATACTGGGAAAGGCACCTAGGGCTTTGTGCATGCTGGGCAAGCACCCTGCCACTAAACTACACCCTAAACCTGTAAGATTTTAAGAAAACAAACAAAAACACTAAAATGTGAGTCCTTTACTAATATTCATCTTTGGAACTACAGGTGTATTTTCATTTTAATTACTTTTTTTAAACAAGTTTGTATCAATAGTGGTTTATTAAAACACAAGTTTCTTTTGTGTTTTTGTTGAATTTTCCCTGTTACAGGTTTTTGTCTAAAATTATCCCTATTCTTTCAACAATTCTGTCTTCAAGACATCCTGTTAAATTTTAAAAATATTTATTTTTAGTTGTAGTTGGACACAATACCTTTATTTATTTATTTTTTGGTGGTGCTGAGGATCGAACCCTAGGCCTTGCACACATTAGGCAAGTGCTCTACTGCTGAGCCACAACCTCAACCCCATCCTGTTAAATTTTAAAGATGACACTTTTTTATGCTCCAGCATAGCAAGTTGGCATGTTTGCCAAGATTCTCAAGGCCAAGGAGCAATTCTTGTACCTCATTATATCAACCACATAATTAGTTTAAATAAATATGTCTTTTATTTTTGCTGTTGGATGTATAGATGACAAAGAATGAAAAAAAGTACTATTTATACTCAGTTTTTAAAAATTGTATGTTTTTTCATAATTGTCTCTGGAATTAAGAAGCAAATCAACAGAGCGTGTGTCTACTGAAATAAAAGATGCATTTACCTAGACATATTAAATATAAAAGTTAAAATATGCAAATTCTAAGACAGCAAATTAAGTCAATCTTCTAACCTGGAGTTGGAAAAGTTCATTCAAGTCAATCTCCATTTTAATTTTCAATCTCAGTGTCTTAATATGGAATAGCAGCAACTATCTACAGAACTTGAAATCATGGTCATAAACTATATTTGCTATATATCCTATTTTTTCTACTATCCCAATGAGAGGGGACATTATTTCCTATAATTATAGTAAGAGTGTCCACTCAACACACTCTCTCATATCATTACTTCTTCAAGAGCTACATCTATTTTTCTTTATCATCCCTAGCAAAATGCTAGTTCAACATGAAATGGACTCTCACTTCTGTGGCTATTATATTTAGCTATCTTCCTGCTTCCTCTTGGAATCATTTTTCATTTTTTTCTTCACATATAAGCTAGGGGCTAATGTTTTCAGTAATACAAATAAGACTAATTTCTCCAATGAAAATTCTTTTAGAGATTTCAACTATTATTAATATAACACAAATTTTACATGTAAGCTACAGGGGCCTTCAGAAATGCTACCCTAATCTTGTCCTAATATTTCCATGATTTACTAGGTTCCAGTCTTTTTGTCTTCCTTTCTGTCTCATGGACATGCCAAGCCCTTCTTCACTAACTTTGGCGTTCTGCCTGGTTTCGGTTCCTCTTAACATCTTTTCTCCAACTTATCACACCTTTGGCACCTACATATTATATAGGATTGGTTTAAACATAATCTCCCTAGCATCATGGTGTATGTCACCAAAATGATTTTAATCTATGATATTATTTAGATATTGTTATTCTCTCTCTTTTGGTAAGCTACATTAGGACATAAACATTACTTTTGGTTTTCTCTAAGTACCTGATGCCCAGCACTTTCAGGGAACATAGGAGATGTTCCAAATATTAATCATTGAGTGAATGAACAAGACAATGCTGTGCCAGCAATATACAGGGATAAAACAAAATAATGTCCTTTTGAAATTTTAAAACAAAGAAAACACTTTCTTTGTCATTAACTAATGTTAAAATCAAATCAAACCAACAAAAACCCTATTATATTCTTGACACAATTTTCACCTCACTATTGAAATAAACTCAAATTATATTGTAGATTAAATTTCCATTTAGAAAAAGGGTATATCTTCTTTGTTAATTGATTATTCATAATAAACTAGGTCCTATTTTAATATTCATCTGAAGTACAGCATAGCTTTCCTGGTCTTTAGTTATTAGAAAAGTATTTTAGCAATTGTTTTGGGAGACAATTGTAAGTCCTCTGTCTCCAAGTTCTAGGCCAAAAATAATCTGTTTTTCTCTAAAGACTGTGGACATTTCATATAAATGAAATCTTATAATACATATTCTTTTGTGACAGGCTTCTTAGGACAATGTTTTCAAGATTTATTTAGGTTGTAGTATTAATCAGTACTTCACTCTTTTTTGTTAGTGAATAATATTGCATTGCATGAATATACTCATTTTTAAATGTATTTATCAGTTGATGGGTATTTGAGTTACTTTCACTAGTTGACTATAATGAATAATGTTGTTGTCCATTCTTTCAGTTATTCAAATCCTAATAGCTCACATGTGACACTGGGATAATAAAACATATACTCAAGACTTTTTTTCCCTGAGGACTAAGTAATATAATTAACAAAAAGGTTATTTTAGACTAAAACTTATTAAAAATAAGGTGCATTTTATCTTTTTATTTCTTATTTAATTTCTGCCAATTTATAAACACCAATTCCTTATACTGCTTTTTTTACCATTTAAAGTATAAAGTCAGTTTATTTTACTGTGAGAAAACTAATAAAGAAAAAAATTAAAAATGAAATAAAAGGGCAGATGTGTAGGAGATATTGTTAGCTCTCATTTGCTAATTACTTAATATATTCAAAGTAATTTGGAATAATACAAGAAATGAGATTTACTCCATGGTAACAATTTGTGAGTATAGCATATACATGTATAATTCTTTGAAATACTTATGAATTAACAAAATAACCTCCCATGTGATTAAATGCAGCAAAATTTTCATTTATTAGATGTATTTAATATTTTATAATAGGATCAATCAATCAAGGCAGGCTTTCTAAAAGGGTGAGTAGAAACATTAAAAATGTTTGGATAAATCAAATAGGAGGAGAGAACTTTAATTTGGAAATAAAAAGAGTGAGAAATTTTGGAAATTTCATAAACAATTATTACATGTATATAGAAAAGGAAGAGAGATGATAATGTGGATGGATATATTGAAGAGTATATGAATATTCAGCATGTTTTATTATTTTTTATAATAAAAACCACAATATAATAAAAACACAATATAATAAAAGACACAATAACTTGTGTTATTTAGCAATAACACAAGTTATTGTTAAATCTCAGTTATTGTTAAATTGAAACAAGTTGAGCCTTAATAGGCATATGAAAATCAAAATATTTTCCAGTAAAAATGCTCTTTGCCCATTGGTTGCAGTATATCCATTCAAACATTCTTGATTTGAAGGGAGTTTTATGGATTTTTATGACAAGATAAAATACATTTTTGTTAAATAAAACAACATAAAAATTTAGAAGATTCAAAATTTGGTTGTATAGAGGCAAAGCAAGAAGTATACTGAAATCCACTAGAGGGAGCTGATATTATTTTAAAGTTTTATAACTTAATTCCCCATCAGAAAAAATAAATCCCTTAGCAAAAACTGTTTTGAAAGTATAAGAGAATTTGTTTTTGTATTTTGCTTTATGTAGTTCATTTCATTTTCTAAAAATAAAAAGCTAGGAAATGAGGAAACCTTCACTTTTTCAGCATATTAATTCTAGAAATGTTATTATATAATACATTTTTTGAAATATTTACAAAGAAATGCAACGGGAAAACATATCTTCCAACTAATTGAAATTTTTGTAGGAAACACATATCCTTACACTTGTTATAAAATGGATTTTTAAAAATATTTTATCTTTATGCCTTAATCCCCAAATATATCCTATAATTCTTTGTATATTCACATGAATACATATGTATGTATGTATGTGTGTGGCAGATCAAAAACACATTTACTGGAGAATAAAACTGTTAATAAACATGTGTCTCAAAAGAAACTTATCTTAAAATTTAAATTGATGGATAGAGATTTCTGAGCAGATACTAGTATATTAAGAGAAAATTAGTGAAAGACAAAGAGAGATCTTGAAAAATTTGCTAGTCACATGGTATACATTTGTATAACCACTTTATTTTTCATTTTATCATCAAAGGAGAAAAGGATAATTTATATAATTATAGTTATCCAAAAGTAAAATATAGCCCAAAGTATAATTTTTCCATAGCTGAGTTTCAGTTGCCACATATATGCTATAGCTATAATACTCTCCATGTGAATTGATAGACATATTAAAAGATGCCTACAAAAATATCTTTATACAGAACAAACTGGATTTAATGAAAGCCTGCTCACATGGCTTCAACTGCTCTTTTATTTTCTTCAATATTCAAAATGCCTGATTCTGAAATTTGCAACCCACCAAGGATAAGTTATAGCTATAAAAAACATGTTTTATTTGCTTTTCAGTGCAGTTGTGAAATTATTATGGAGGGGAAGAAATATGTTGTTTGCCAACACAAGTTATTTTATTACTTATTAACAGAGGTTGTAGAGAAATAGTTCTATCCAAAAAGTTATTCTTTAATGTTAGTATTTTCTGTTCTCCACACAAATAATCAATTTGAAGAATTTCAAGTTAGTACTTTATAGTATTTTTACTTACTTGTTTGTAGCTCTTTCTCTCTGGCCTGCACATCAGCAAAGACTTGGTTAAAATGATTTGTAAAGGCCACAAAGTCTGCATCCAGGAACATTGGCCCTTGTCCTTTCTCTTTCAGGGCTATGCTTTGAATTTTTAATCGCTCAATTTGAGGCTGAAGAGCTGACAGCCGGTTGACTTCATCCTGTACCATAATTTAGAGTATTAAAAGTAAATAACACTTTTACTTTGCATACATTACATTTTGCAAACTAAATTGTTAAAAGGCAGCGATGCAAGCTTAACTTAATACCTTTAACAAACACTGGATAAGAAACATCCATGATAGTTTAAGAAAATCTAAACCACTAATCATCAATTTAAGAATGCCAGGGCTCTATTTTCAATTTCTATTACCATATATGATGATCTTTAAATTCAAGATGATATCATTTAGAGAATTAATGGGCATGAATGTATGCACTGGAAAAGTACTATGAATGATCTTAAATGTTTTCCATAAAAAGATGTTTGACTGCACCCCTGTTATCTCAAAATTGTTTGCCTTTGCTTCAAACTCTAAGTTCATTCAATAAATAATATTTATTATTTCATGTGTATAAATATAAATTATATGTACTCTCTAGATATATGTATACATCCATACTGTATTAGATTACAATACATAAACATTGTAGATCTTATGCATATATAATATTTGCATATATATACACACATATACATATATATGTGTGTGTATATATATATATATATACACACACACACACACACACACACACATAGTTAATGCATATACTTGTATCTATATGCCTCCTCTACCTTTAGTATGGCCTCATTGCTTCTCCTGACCAATCAAGAAATTTCCACTTTTTCAAATATGCTGATTATTTGTCTAAGTTTTCTTTTGTCCTGATATGATTATTAACAGCACCCATTTTCACTCTTGATATTACTCTGGTTTAGATGGTAAAATCACATGGATAGTGATGTGCTGTCCAAAATGGTAGTCACCAGAAGCACACAGCTACTGAACACTGGAAATATGGCTTTTTGAAATTTAGATGTACAAAATTTTAAAATTCACACTGAATTTTATTTATTTATTTGTTTGTTTATTTATTTATTTTTGTGGTTCTAGGAATTGAACCCAGGGCCCTATGCATGTGAAGCAAGCACTCTACCAACTGAGCTATATTCCCAGTCCCTACACTGAATTCTTAACACTGAGTGTGAAAAATTAACACAAATGATTTCATCATTTAAAAATATTGATTAAACTTCAAAATAATATTTTTGACAAGTCAGGTTAAATAAAAGGCCCTATGAAATTAATTTACCAGTTTCTTATATTTAAATATAGTTTCTACAACATTCAGAAGTTTATATATGGTTTGAGTTTGTGTCTTGCCTTGTATTTGTTTTGGACAGTGCCTTTCTCTACATAAATGTTTTTGTACCCTTGTTTCCAGTGAAATTTTAATTAGTTTGTATTTGATACTTACATAACTTTAACTCAAACAGAAATTTTGAAATGTTCTTTTAAAAATATCACCATGGTTGCTTACTTGTAATTGATACCTGTGCTACCTTTAGAAAAAAAAAGCACTTGGGGTTGTTTACCATTTAATATGTAAAAAACAGGATAATTAACATTAAAAATTGGAACATGAGCCAATTACAAGGAGGGAAAAATTAAAAGAATTACAGTAATTATGAACTAAATTTAAATCTGAGCTTCCTGGTAATCACAGAGAAAAGGCAAAATAAAATCAATTGTTAATTTTGGATGCAGGCATATTATTTTGGAGAGAGTAATTTGTCTTGGGATGTTAGAAATGAATTTATCACCTAAAAACTTCTTTCACAGCAGCAAGACTACATTACAGTCAATGCTACTTGTTCTGCTTTAGAAGATATTAAGATAACTTTCCGAGGAATGATAGTATGATGTTATAATCATTAGTTGATTCAGGTAGGCTAATTTCTAACAGTTGAAATCTTTGGATAGTTGAAGACTGAGGACATTTAAACAAATTGGAAGGTAACCCATCTGGTCTTTATTCATTCAAATAGAAATCCTTTCATCAAGTGCTAGAAGATTAGTACATATCCATGGACAATGAATATTAAATAGATAAAGGATAAATTCTACTATTTCTTTACATAATACACTTTGTATACTAGACTCACAAAAGGCAGCATTGACATCTTCTGTGAACATTTAAGAAACTGATTTACATTATGCCAGACGGAGGGCAGTCATTTTTTCCCATTCAATGGGCTCTAGAAATCCTAAAGTACAATCAAGTGTGTTGCACAAAACAAAGCTGACTTTGAAACCAATAAAACATTTGTACAAATGCTCACTCGAGACTAAAAATTCTGAGGATAAATCATTTTGAACTGAACTATTCAACATTTAAAATATGTTAACAATTAGCCACTGTTTTATAAAAGGGCTTGGTGTGATCTTCCCTCCAAGATAAGGGATCTTTTCTGAGCTTGTTTATCCTTTAGAATAATATGCTTACCTGATGAAAATTTTTGTACTTTTCTCAGGAAAGGGTCATGAATTCCTTCTAATTCTCAAAAGGTTTTCTAAACCACAACATATTAAGAACCAGTTGTGCTGAGCATTAGATTGTAAGCTACATCTATAATACAGAAATGTCTCCAAAAAATAAAAAGAAAGAAAGAATGAATTTTGTGGTGCACACCTGTAATCCCAGGGGCTCTGAAGGCTGAGGAAGGAAGATTGTGAGTTCAAAGCCAGACTTAGCAACTTAATGAAGTCCTAAGAAACTCAGTGAGACCCTGTCTAAATAAAATATAAAAAAGTGCTGGGGAGGGCTGGATTTGTGGCTCAGTGGTAGAGCACTTGCCTAGCACATGTGAGGCCCTGGATCCGATGCTCAGTACCACATAAAAATAGATAAAAGAAAGGTATTTAATAAAAGAGGGTGCTGGGGATATGCCTCAGTGGCTAAGTGCCTGTGAATTCAATCCTCAGTACCAAAAAAGAAAACTAAAAAGAAACAATTAACAAATCAGATGATGTAATTTATTTACCTATCATTAGTCATAGTCAAATATTATAATTGTATCTCTTGAATGAGTGATATTAAGCTTATCTGCTAAATATTTTACTTAAACTGATTTAAAAAATTAATAGGAACCCAAAGGTCAAGGAGAAAGAGTAGTGGTTGATAAAGAGAAATGGGATTGTGTCATCATAAGCCGAAACTTTGTGGCTGGATGCACAAAAAAAAAAAAGAAAAAATCATTTTGGATGACTCCAACAACCTTGAGAGAATGTTTATACACCTATCACGGATTTCACGTTGCTCCTCAGATTAAGATCAAAATTCTAGCATATTCCCCTCAAATTATTATTTGTTTGTATACATCTGCCTTTTCACCTTCATTGCTCATCCTAGTTCCCTACTCCTCTATGTTCCACATTCACAAAGGCCTTTATTTAGTTGCTTGGTCTTCACTGCACCCTCCCACCTTGTTCCTTCTTGTTTTTATATTTTCTTTTGCAATACTGGGGACTGAACTTAGGGATCCTTTACCACTTAGCTACATATCCAACTCTTCTTATTTTTTGAGACAAGAGTGTTTTACTCAATTTCCAGACTGGTCTTGAACTTTTGATCTTCTTGCTCCAGCCTTTCAGATAGCTGGAATTACAGGCATGTGCCACCACACAAGGATCCCATTGTATTCCTTTTGAATGTTTTTTTACTGCACTGTTCTCTTATTTAATGCTAGCTCATCATAAAAGTCTCAACTAAAATATATCTTCATCAATGAAGCTGTTCTTGGTAGCTGCATCTAGGTCAGGTTTTCCCTGTTAGACATTCTCCCAAAACTATGTACTTTTGGTTAAAGTATTTGTCTCAGAGGTAATTTGTCCAAGAAGTGATTTTTACAGCTATTTATTTATTCATTTGCTTAATGTACCTGTCCCCTACTCTGTGTACATATAATAAGCCAAGGTCAATATTCACTCTTATTCCCCAAAACTTAGTGTTGTGTTTCTCTTAGTGAACTGTGTTTCTTGAAAATTTATATGTGGGAGCCTTAACCCTTTATGAGGCCCTACTTAGATATAGGGCTTTTATATGGTATTTAAGGTTTAAAGAGGTCATCAAGGTGGAGTCACAATCCTATAGAATTGGAGGCTTTATAAAATCAACCTCTCTCTTTCTCTCTCTCTCCTTCCCTCCCTCCCTCTACCTTCATACATGCACTGAGGAAAGTATGTAAGGTTGCATTTAGAAGGAGCCATCTACATGCCAGTGAATTCCTTCTTAACAGAAGTTGAACTCCACCAGACTTGATCTTGAACTTTATGTTGTTGAAATCAATCACTTAGTTTTGTTTGTTTGTTTTGTCATAGCAGTCCAAGGTAGCTAACTTACTTAGCATCATTCTTGACTGTTAGAGATACTGAATATATATTTTAAGGATGAACATACTTTGTGGATGTTACTACTAATTTCTATATTTGAATCTCAAGAATCAGGTTAAGGTAATATCATTATATATTTTTTAAGAAATAACTAACGTGAATTAGTCCTCCAATTCACAGGAAAGAAGCCAAGGGTTCTGTTACTAAACTATAAAACACATGCAAATATAGAAAATTCCTAGTTTACATATTTGTTTAATAAACTAAATGCCTTTGTAGTATTTTCTTCATTATTTTTAAAAACATACTTCTTGAGATTATTTACTTCCTGGAAAATCTGTAAATCTAATACTTAGAGAAAAAAACATCAAGCCCTTCAGTTTCTACCCACCTTTAAAAGTAACTTTAGGGGACTGTGGTTATGACTCAGTGGTAAGGTGCTTGCCTAGCATGTGTAAGGCACTGGGATCGATTATCAGCACCACATATAAATAAAATAAAGGTCCACTGAAAAGTAAAAATTAAAAATTAAAAAAGTAACTTTGAGCTCGCCACTACTTTCTGGGTTCAATATCTTTACCAGACCGTACTGTCACCTCTCCATCTCCAGTCCCTTTTATTTAAAGCATTCTTTTAAGAGTATTCAAAGTAACCTCCATTCATATTGAATACATTCACCTCAATCATTAATGGTTCATCCAGGAACCTTTCTATCCATCTTTTAATCAATTTTCCATTTCCCAGGAAAAGTGTGTAGTTCATGGTAATGATGGGAAGTATTCAAGCTATTTTCATTTTTATAGATCTCTAGTTTTCATATCATTTGCAATTATGGTCTTTAATCTCTTTCCCAGGCCCATTTGTGCCAGTACCATCTTGTTTGCCCCTCCCAATCTACTGTCCACTCTTCTTCTCTGACTCAAGAGAGATATTTACAGATTACAATTCCCTTGACTTTGCCTTCTGATTAACATTAATCAATGTGAAGCCCTGTCTTGATTCTGAAGGTAGGTAGTAAAGTAAAGTAGTTTATTTTAAGGGCTTCATTTCCTTCAGGGTAGTTTCGGCTGGATCTTCATCCTCCTTTTACTACTGGAATCTAACTCTTTTTGAGCTTCTATAAGCTCTCTCCCTCATTTTTTTCTGGCCTAAGAGAGGTAAAAACTCTGCTGTTTGATTGATACACTCTCCCTTGAGGTTCCTATATACTCCAACACATTTGCAATGAAATCTTAAATTATCCTAATTTAAGTAGGCCTTTAGTTTAAATTTTTCCTTGTTTATCCAATTGTATAGCATAGCAATTTGTTGTTGACCTGTGTTTCTAGCTATTTGTATGGATCCACTTTTTCAGCACATGATTGAATTTTGTTCCTATCAAGGAAAGAGCTCCAAAATATGGGCCTTTTTTTAAGACTACCATGGTTTCCACACTAACCATTTTGCATAGTGACAACATCAATTAGCCATGAATATCTTTGCTGAATATACATTTAGGACTTCAACATCCATACACTGCTTATTCAAACTGATTTTCTTTGCTTATAGTTTAATCTTTACTATGCTTAGATAAATCCAGAGAAGGGGAAAATTTTCTTACTAAATACTTTTCTATTTACCTCTTGAAAATCGCCTTAAAATGACTCTATTGATCATGCTCCAAATGGAAGGAGGAAAGAAAGATCCTTACCTTACAGATTTTTAACTGGCTTTTAATTGCTGTTGGCTCTGATGTGGTGGTGGGTTGGGTTTTCAACCAATTTTCAGCAGTAGTTGTCATCTGCTCCAATTGTTGTAACTGATTATAGAAGATGATGATGTTGTTCTGATACTCCAGCCAGTTAAGTCTCTCACTTAGCAACTGGCAGAACTCTATCCACCGGCTGTTCAGTTGTTCTGAGGCTTGTTTGATGCTGTCAGCGTTAACACCCTCTAGAAAGAAAAAGAAATTTAAATATATCCCCTGAAGCCACAGACAAAAAGAAATGATCTGAAAACCAATGTTTCTACTCTACAAGTATTCACTATATGAATGATTTCAAACAACAACATTTATTTACTGATAGAGATCTAAAAGTATAGAGATGATTTCTGATTGTCCATAGGGAATAATAAAAGTTGTATAAGTATCACATTATGTGAATTTCATAAAGTAATAAATGAAGTGACCTACAAGAGTAGAATGTATTAAGTAAAAAATAAAGTGATCAAAACTCTGATGGGGGAGATGGAAGGCTGATAATTGAGAAAATGTTTTGATATTTCCAAGTAAATGTTCAATATGATGTTTTATTAATATATATTTTATAAAATTGAATTGCATTTTATATTTAAAAATGAGTCTGGGAATGAAATATAACTTGCATGCTTTTTAATTTTATTTTTTAGATGATGATAGAATACATTTTGAAATATTATACATATATAGATAAGTATAACTTGTTCCAATTAGGATCACATTATTGTGGTTTTACATGATGTGGAATTACAAAGATTGTATAATTATTTAAGAAAGATATGTCTCATTCTCTGTCTTTCCTATTACCATCCCCCCATCCCTTCCTTTCATTTCCCTTTGTCTAGTCCAATGAATTCCTAATTTTGCCCTCCCTTGTTGTGGTTTAGCATCCAAATATCAGAACATTCTGCCTTTGGTTTCGGGGGGGGCTGGCTTATTTCACTTAGTATGATATTCTCAAATGCCATAATTTCATTCTTCTTTATGGCTGAGTAATATTCCATTATGTATATATACCACATTTTATTTATCCATTTATCTATTGTAGGGCACCTAGGTTGGTTCTATAGCTTGGTTATGATGAATTGAGCTGCTATGAACATTAAAGGGCCTACATCACCGTAGAATGCTGATTTTAAGTCCTTTGGAATAACCAAGGAGTGGGATAACAGGGTCAAATGGTAGTTCCATTCCAAGTTTTCTGAGGAATCTCCATCCTGCTTTCCAGAGTTATTGACCATTTTGCAGCAATGTATGAGTGTACCTTTTCCCCTACATCCTCACCAACATTTATTGTTGCTTGTATTCTTGATAATTGCCATTATGACTGGGGTGAGATGGAATCTCAGTGTAGTTTTAATTTGCATTTCTTTAATTGCTAGAGATGTGAATATTTTGTCATACGATTGTTGATGGATTGTATTTCCTCTTCTGTGAAGTATCTGTTCAGTTCCTTAGCTTTTTTATTGATTGGTTGGGTTACTTTTTTTTGGGGGGGGGCAGGTTAAGAGTTTTTGAGTTCTTTGTATATCCTTGAGATTAATGTTCTATTAGAGATGCTAGTGGCAAAGATTTTCTCCCATTCTGTAGGCTCTCTGTTCATGTTCTTGATTGTTTCCTTTGCTAGGAAGAAGCTTTTTAGTTTGATACCATCCCATTTATTGATTATTGTGCTTTAGGAAACTTATTTAGGAAGTCAGTTCCTAAACTGACATGTTAGAGAGTTGGGCCTACTTTTTTTCTAGTAGACACAAGGTCTCTGGTCTAATGCCTAGGTCCTTGATCCATTCAGAGTTGAGTTTTGTTCAGAGTAAGAGATATAGGTTCAATTTCATTCTACTGCATATGGATTTCCAGTTTTCCTAGCAACATTTGTTGAAGAGGCTATCTTTTCTCCAATGTATGTTTATGGCTTCTTTGGGTAATATGAAATAATTATATTTAAGTGGGAATGACTATGTTTTCTAATCTTTTCCATTGGTCTTCATGTCTGTTTTTGTGCCAGTACCATGTTGTTTTGTTACTATAGCTCTATAGGATAATTTAAGGTCTAGTATCAGGATGCTTCCTGTGTCACTTTTCTCACTAAGGTTTGCTTTGGCTATTCTGGCCCTCTTATTTTTCCAAATGAATTCCATGACTGCTTTTTCTACTTCTGTGAAGAATGTCATTGGGATTTTAATAGGAATTGCATTAAATCTGTATAACACTTTTGATAGTATTGCCAATTTGATGATATTAACTTTGCCTACCCAAGGATATGGGAGATCTTTCTATCTTCTAAGGTCTTCTTCAATTTCATTCTTTAATGTTCTACAGTTTCCAATGTAGAGGTGTCTCACCTCTTTTGTTAGATTGATTCCCAAATATTTTATATTTTTGAGGCTATTGTGAATAGGACAGCTTTCCTGATTTCTCTTTCAGTTGATTCATCATTGGTGTACAGAAATGCAACTGATTTATGGGTGATAATTTTATATCCTGCTACTTTGCTGAACTAATTTATGAGTTCTATGATTTTACAGAAGGATAAAAACATCGATCCAAAATTCATTATTCTCTATTATTGCTATTGGTTATCTAGAAATTAACAGATTGTCCATTGAACCAAGAAAGTATATTAAGCACTCAGAAAAATAATCTTTCTAGTATGAAAAATATTTTTACTTATAAATATGGAAGCTCATTTGAAAGATTTAAAATCACCTACACCAAAACCAAAATCAGGAAAACTCTATCAGCAGCAAAAATGAAACATAAGCACACCATTACTCTTTTGGAATATTTACTATGTGTCAGGGAATGTGCTATGTCTTTTCATAGATGACATCTTAGATAATCTTTTTTCATAATTTGAAATATAACTAAGCCCAGTATTATATTATCCTATACACAGCATGAAAGTATGCCAACATCATACTATGAGTTATATATTTCCTCTCAAAATTAGTTCACAAACTTTACATTTTCTTAGATATGTCAGTTTATATAGAACCCCTTTAACCCTTTAATAAATGCTATTATATTAAGTAGAAAATAATTACTTTGTGAATTTTAAAATAACAACTTTAAATATACTATTTTGTATGTGAGTGTGTGTGTGTGTGTGTGTGTGTGTGAGAGAGAGAGAGAGAGAGAAGGGGAGGGGAGGGGAGGGGAGGGGTGTTTGGTACCAGGGATTAAACATAGGTATTCTTTAACAATGAGTCACATCCCCAAACCTTTTTATGTTTTCTGTTTGATTGATTGTTTTGAGACAGGATCTTGCTAAATTGCTTAGGGCTTAGCTAAATTACTGAGGCTGGCTTTGAAGTGATTCTCCTACCTCAGCCTCCCAAGCCATTGGGATTACAGGCTTTCGCCATCATGCCCTACTTATAAATACTAAATATATGAATGTTTCATGTTCCCATATTTATACCCTAGGATCTCAAAGGGAGGAATAACTCACCCACAAATTCTTCTTCTAGATTAAAATATCTAAGGGGTAAAGTTATTTAGTAGAAGACTAAGTTGCCTAAGAGAATCTTCTTTTTGAATGTTCATTTTACTTAAATTTCTGCTACATGTAAATGGAAATTAAACTCCTTTTTTGTAATCTATTTTCTTTTTTTCTTTTTTTACATGTACATGGCAGTAGAATGTAGTTTGACAAATTATCCATACGTGGAGTATAACACATTCTAATTAGGATCTCTTTCTTCTGGTTGTACATGATGTGGAGTTTCACTGGTCGTGTATTTATATATGAAAGTTATGTCCAATTCATAGTACTGTCTTTCCTATTCGAGAAACTAAATTCTTAAAAAGTCTGAAGGACATCTCTAGCAAACATAAGGCTGGTGATTTTTCTAACTTGTACATGCCTCCCACTTCATCCTTTTTAAAGACTAAAGATATGGATTTCAATTCTACATCTATATTATCTCGTTAAATTTTGCTCTGTTCAGATATTTTAATTTCCATTTGTTGCAAACCAAATCTCTCAATTTCTTCCAAACATGAATCTAATTTTAATAAAATTCATAGTATGATACTACTCAAGATAACATCTGCTACTCAAGAAACAAACATTTCAATCCTTCTTTTGGAGGATATTTTTCTAAATAGGTAAAATGAGGAAAAAATAATAAAAAATAATACATACCTGTCTCTGTATATTGAGCTATGGGAAAGCCCATAGATTAGAGAAACTAAAAACTCTCCTAATTCCTTCCTAATATTTGAGGGAAGAATTAATCTTATTGAGACATGTGGAAGTATGGCGTTATATGCTGTTCATGATAATTTGGTTTTTAGTAGTGAACAAGAATTATACCAAAATATGTTCTGAAGAATGCTACTAAGTAATTGTAAAATAATGATGTTTGGTATAAAGTATAAGAAAAGAATATAAAACTCTGATTATGTCTGGTACTTTTTTTGAGAAAAGGTATTATGATAGAATGTTCAAATTGTTTCTGGAAAATGAAAGGGCAAAAATTAAAAATACACACTGGAGAATTTTTAATTGTTAGGCAATGTCTTAAAAATGTGCTGTGGATTTAAATGATCACATTTTTAAGAGAAAGATTTTCAGCATGTGTTGAAAAAGCACTTAGAAGAAAGAAGTCCATGATGTGTAAAAAGTCAACAGAAACCAGATATTGAGTAGGCAAATAAGAGATACTAAAGAAAATTAAAGGTACTGATGGGATTATGCTGGACTATACCTTAATTAACATTTGTTTAAATGTAAGCCAACACAGAGAGAAAACTTTCTGTGCTCTTGAGAAAGTGCAACCTTACCAACCCTATTATAAATTGGAAAAATAACCATGAATTAATTTTCAATATAAATAATATAGTTGACTATTTCCAAATGATAAAACAAGCTATAATGAAATATCAGCACAACACGTTATGTGGTATCTATTAAAATCCTAGTGGCAAATTTTAATGAATTTTGTTGATCATTAAATAAAATTCTATGCTGTGTCCAAACAAACAAAAAAAAGTAAAGATGTTGAACATGCCTGAAAAGGAATTAAAGGAGAAAGACTTCCACATTAGGACAAATGAGAAAACAAGATAAAAGGTATAGAAATTAAGAGTCAGAATTTTAGATTTTGACAGATCTGAGTTCAAAATGAATGTCATTGGCCAGGCACAGTGGTGCACTTCTAAAACCCCAGTGGCTCTGGTGGCTGAGACA